AGTCAGAGAGCAGTGTGTGTTGCTGGTGTTACAGGTGACTGTCAAGTTATGGTCACTCACAGCCTGAACAGAGTACGACGCAGCACCTCTCGCTGTGTTCCACATCACCCGGCCAGTACTCAAGTTGTAGTGGATGGACACATTTGTAGGAACGCAGGGCTCTGGAGGGAGAACAAGTTAAACGGTCTGAACTGTGATATAAATGAGACAAAAGGTTTGGCTGAAACACGCACCTGTGGTGAGGTATCCTGTCATCTGAGAACTGCTGTTACAAGTCTCTCCAACAGCCATCACAATGACGTTGTATTCCTCTCCGCATCGCAGAGGCCTCGGCTGACAGCTGGTTTGGTTGGTGGTGCAGCTGGCTGTGTGTCCCGAAGAAGCTGTGAGCACAGTAATGTATCGCACAGCTCCATCGCTGGGCTGCCACGATATGTTGGCAGAGCTGCCCCCACAGTCGTAAATCACTTCAATATTGCTTGGCTCACAAGGTCCTGTGGGATCAAGAATAATATCAAGTATGGTAACGCTTTACAACAAGGGACACAAAAAACTTGGTTACTAAAGAACAAGTGATGAGTCACGAATGAGCTGGTAGTTAATGAGATTTTCATCAGCAGTTTCTTAATAGCTTCCCTAATAATTTATACAAGATAATTATTCACTAAAGACATAAAGAATCTATCTGTTTATATAGCTATTATTGATTTTTGGCTCTCTTCCCGGCATGTCTTTGTTCTGTCTTCCTCCCCACACCCCCAAAGTTGTGGCAGATGGCCGCCCCCGATGATGAGCCTGGTTCTGCCGGAGGTTTCTTCCTATTAAAAGGGATTTTTCCTTCCCACTGTCACCAAAGTGCAAACTTATAGGGTTTTATTTGCTTGTTGTTATTTGCTCTGTATTATTGTGGGGTCTTTACATCACAGTATAAAGCATGTACCTTAAGGCTGCTGTTGTGATTTGAGGCTATATTAATAATATCGAAATTAAAATAATCCATAGGTAATGAGGAACTTCACTATTAAGAGACCACTTAGTAAGATGCTTCACTACTTGTGGCAACACAGAAAGAGTAGCTAATATTGAATTGATCAGTACTGAGTAGTTTGATGCCACGTTGTGTGGGGTTTTCATTACCTGATGTAAGAGGGACCACTATGCTGTCAGAGCTGTTGTACTGATGTCCCAGGGCTTTGACCCAGACGCTGTACACTGTGCCACACATCAGCCCTGAGACGACACAACTTGTATCTGCGTCTGTGCCAACACAGAAAGTGTCGTGTCCATGCTGGCTGTCGAAGTAGGCAACATAACCTGCAGCAAGGTCACTCTGCTGCCAGGACACAGTTGCAGTGGGTTGCCCACAAGATGCATTGGCTTGAATGTTTGTGGGTGGGCAGGGTTCTGAATTAAGGGAAAACAAACAGATTTAGTTATTAAAATCCACACATGTACATACGTGTACATATGTTCCTTCCTGATTTGACTACTAACCCGTCATGAGGAGGGAGGCGTCAGAGATCTGACTATCACAGGCCTGGTTTTTAGCCGTCACAGTGATGCTGTAGGTCTGACTGCATTGTAAACCAGTCAGAACACAGTCAGTGTTTACGGTGTTACAGGTTAAACTCAGGCCTTGCTGTGTCACAGCTCGGACAGAGTATGAGCTTGCACCGCTTCCTGCACTCCACTGCACCTGGGCAGCACTCACGTTATAGTGAAAGCTGACATTCACAGGAACACAGGGCTCTGGAGGGAGGAAACATTATAAAAGTTAGAATTTTTAAAAGTAAGAAACTCCCTCTGTGTTAAAAGCTACTGTACACTCGCCTGTTGTGATGGTGGTGGGGGCACTGGAAGGACCAGGACATCTGGGGTCCACTGCTTCCACGACAACAGAGTATTCCTGTCCACAAACCAGGCTGTTAAGATGACACGATGTGCCCAAGTCACTGCAGCTGGAGCTGTGTCCGTTAGCAGACGTGGCCTGGACCATGTATCCCGTGTTTGCTGCAGTATTACTCCAAGTGACCAGAGCTTTAAAGGTAGTACAATTGAGCTCAGCTGACACATTGGTAGGAGGGCATGGGCCTAGAAATAGAGAGAAGCACAACTTGGAAGCAGATACAGAAAATGAGGAAATGAATGGTAAAATTTAAGTGATAGTTTGAGATTAAACCACAGGTTTATATGC